TTACAGCTCGAACCAAGTGTCAAGTGATTATCAGCTGTTCTTGTTTAAAGCGACTGATTTTGTTGGTGTATAATTAGTCTCAAGAGACGACAGGCAATTTTTAGGCTTTAGGGTTGAGTGTTTCTATAAGAAAGATAATGAAATTACCTTCAGAATAATGCATGTTTTTATACTCTCGCAACAAAGTTGCTAAAGAGAGTATTATAGTTTTGTTCACATAACGGTTGTTTGTAAGTCCTAAAACTAAAAGAGTCAGATATAGGGTTATATATACCAAAGTGATCAGGGTGACGAGTAGAGTTGAAATCCGGATGTCCGTCCGTCTGTCCGTCCGCCCGTGCAAGCTGTAACTTGAGTAAAAATTAAGATATCATGATGAAACTTAGTACACGTATTTCTTGGCTCCATAAGAAGGTCAAGTTCGAAGATGGGCAAAGTCGGCCCACTGCCACATCCACAAAATGGCGGAAACCGAAAACCTATAAAGTGGCATAACTTAGCCATAAATAAAGATATTAAAATGAAATTTGGCACAAAGGATCGCATTAGGGAGGGGCATAACTTTTTTGTACATATCTCGAAAACTACTATAGCTATGTCAACTAAACTGTATAGAGTCGTTTCTTTTAGGCGTTTCCATATACAGTTCAAAAGTGGATGAAATCGGATAATAACCACGCCCACCTCCCATACAAAAGTTATGTTGAAAATCACTGAAAGTGCGTTAATCGACTAACAAAAAACGTCAGAAACACTAAATTTTACGGGAGAAATGTCAGAAGGAGTTGCATCCACGCTTTTTTTAAAAATTTAAAATGGGCTTGACGTCGCCCACTTATGGAYCAAAAACCATATCTCAGGAAGTACTCAACCGATTTCAATGAAATATATAATATTTTCTTAACACCCTGATGACATGTACCAAATATGGGTGAAATCGGTTCACAACCACGCCTGAAATCTCGATTATCACTTTATCATGCGAGAGTATAAAATGTTCGGTGACACCCGAACTTAGCCCTTCCTTACTTGTTCAAATTGGGATCATTCTTACCATATTAATTAAAAATTTTAAAGTTAGTGCACATTTTAAAAATTTCAGATAAGAACCGAAATTTATATAATAAAGCGTATTCGATTTAAATAGGGTTCATGCCATTTTCGGTAAAATTTTATCAAGCTATTTTCAGATCAATTTAGTAGTATGATGGACAGGCTTACGGAAACTCACCTACCGGAAGCCAATGGAAAGGAATCAGAAGCTCGCTGCGCTGTGCATAATAGGAGCTTTAAGAACAACCCCAACAGCAGCACTTGAACTGGTACAAAACCTACCACCTATAGACCTGTTTGCTGAAAACTGCGCAGGAAAATCGGGGGGACGACTACTGGCTGCTGGGGAAATATAACATATAAAATATCGGTGGGTAATGGCGGCTGGGAAAACACCGACTATGGTACATGATCAAACTTTTTAATTTTAAAAGAAGGTTCAAAGTAAACATAGAATGGCTGGCGTAAAGATATGCTAGCTACGTGCAACACTCTAAATATCTATACGGATGGCTCGAAAATGGACGATGAAGCTGGTACGGGAATATACTGTCCAGCGTTAGGCAAAAGGCAACCAGTTAAGTTGCCAGACTACTGCAGTATTTCTCAAGCTGAGGTCTTTGCTAATGCTAAAGCCGCGGAGCTGACTTCTAACCTAACCTCTAATGCATCTGCAGGTAAAACCAAAGTCTAAAACTATATACATAGACAACCAAGCAGCAATCAAGGCCAGAAGTGTTGCCAGAAGCAAGCAAAAATTCACTTTTACTTTGTGCCGGGCCAAAAAGACATCGATGGCAAAGAAATAGTGAATGAGATAACGTGATAAACATTGAAAAATCCAAGCATTGTTTATACGACGATCTTGACAGAAGCATTGTAAAGAAAGTCAAAACCCGATGGAACGAGCTACCTGGGAGTAAAACTGTAAAAGTCATGTGCAAAACGGTAGATCGGAAGTACACAAAATTCTTTTTGGCACTCGATAAAAGAGACTGTAGGAACATGATGGGAATACCAACTGACCGAGATCTGTGTCTGGCGATACACGTCCACAGGAAGGCGTTGACAGAACGAGAAGACTGCAGAAAATGTCTATAGCAAGGCACCAGGAAAACAATGGAGTATCTCTTGTGCACTTGTTCCGCGTTGACAAGACTACGCTGTAAGCATCTGGGGTACCCACGGTATGATACAGTGGCTCCTCCTTGATAGTGAAGCCACAAAGTCTGTAAAATTGACGTCAAGTGCAGGCATCCTGAAGGATGTCTACTCCACTTGGACTTGGCAACTGAACTCCCTCTGGTATCGCAAAATACCAAACTAGTCTATGCGTGGCTTATTTGCCTACCGGATTAATCTTACCTAACTTATTATTCAAAAAATATAAAAAATGTATTTGAGCAACATTGGCTGCATTTTTTCTACCTGTGATTTGTAAACATAATTTATCCCCACAAACCAACCGAAATTATAAAATAAAATTATTTCAAAAACGCAAAATTTCTTGTGGCGTATAATTCGCCTCGCAAACCTCCATCGATTTAAAAAGTTCGTCCTTAAGCAATACGAAGAAAAACGTGTTCCGCAACAAAATAATTTGTTTACCATGAAAATGCTCGCATCATAAAAAGTTAATTGAAATAAGCGAAATTTTTCTGCTTTCTGCAAATAAGTGCATTTCCTGTGCAAGAACAAACATTCGTGTGGAAGAAGTGCATACAAAAGAGAACGCTTAGTCATCGCAAAATGGAACTGCATGACGGTAAAGACCTTAACACAGATTTATGCGCATTTAGAACCTTTACAGTGTAGACATTTGTCTACACAAACTACTTAGACCTTTTTGCTATGATTCATTTCAATTGAATATCTACACATACATGCATATTTATGAATCAATTTTATGAAAATATTTAGAGATTAAAAATTACTGTAAAAACTGTTAAGTTTATGTTCGCGTGATTTCTAACTAAACTAGAAAAAATTTAGTACTCTATAATATTTGCAGCGCTAACTGTCTAACTGTAAGCAACTGTCAATTTTCGAAGAGATTTTGAATGTCTGACGCATACTTTTTATGTGAAAACTATTTTTTTTATAAACAATCTTTGCTAAAAAGACACAGTAGTGAGTTTGAAACTTTAAAATGCTTTATTTCGACTACCTAAAAAAGTTATATATGCATTGGAACCGAGCCTAGATGAGTCACAGGCAACCAACTGAAGTCAATTGCAGCAGTTAGTGGACCTTTTTTAGTGAAGTCGGAGGTCGGACCGTATTCTTATAATATGCAAAAATAAAGCTAGTGCATTTTGAAGTAATTGATGCAGTTGTTTTTCACTGTTTTTCTTGAGAATTCCAAAATATCGCCAATTTTTAAGGCTTGCCCGATTTTGAGATTATAAGTCGCCAATTTAAGTTTAATTTGTAAAATCAGAACTAAAATTCGGATTAAAATTTAAAAAATTAAGCTAAACTTTGATTTAATTTAAATGTTATACTTTTAAAATTAAAATTTAATATTTTAATATTTTAATGCAAAATAATTTTAATATTTTTATTTAATTTCTTAATTTCAAAATCGGAATAAAATTTTAATTTATATTTTACTTTATTATATATTTTAATTTCTTAATTGCAAAATCGGAATAAAATTTTAATTTTATTTTAATTTTTTAATTTCAAAATCGGAATAAAATTATTTTTCTGTTTTCAAAAATAATTGATTTTTTTAATTTTTTTTCAAATAAAAAACTGTATTGAAAGAGTTAAGATTTAAATATTTCTCACTGAAGCAATATAATTAAAATAAAAGATATGTAATTAAAAAAGTGTTTAAATTGTAGGTTGAAATTTTATTAAAAATAAAAATATCTTTTTTCAAAGATAACCAAGTGGTAGAACACAAGAAACGCAAAAGCAAAATAATTTCATTTTGTGTCAGACATTTTATATTTACAAATTGTTTTGATTAAAAATTTTAAAAAAATATTTTTTTAAGAAAAAAATACCGATACCGTTTTTTTGGTTTAAAAATTAATTTTTAACTTTCCAATTTTCAAATTTCTGTCCCCAAAAGAAATTTGAAAATTGTTTTTGATTAATTTAAAAAAAAAAAATTAAAACTGAAAATTACTTTTGATTAATTTAAAAAAAAATTAATATTGAAAATTATTTTTGATTCATTTAAAAAACAAATTAAATTTGTTTAAAAGAATTTAATCCGATTTTTGGGATTAAAATTTAATTTTCAATTTTGTCAATTGGTTTTTGGGATCAGAAATTTTAAAATTATTTTGCATAAAGTTCTTCGAGGAAAAAAGAACAAGACAAGAAATCAATTAATTTAGAAAAAATTATCCAGTTTTTCCAGTAAAACTTAATTTTTAATTTTGCAATTCGGTTCGAAAATTTTTTAAATAAGATTTTCCGGATTACAAAATTTAAAAAATTAAAAAAAAAATTTATTCTA